ATTCATCAGTTTCATCACACGTTCCTTGGCCTTGAGGTCCGTCACTATGATTCTTCCAGCCGGATGCTGCTGGACAAACTGTGAGATATCAAAGCAGGCAACAGCCAAAGCCCTAGGATCAGTGGATGTGTCCAAAATAGTAATCAAGACTCTTAGAATCTGCAAGAGGAAATCATGCATTATTAGTGTCAAGGAAGCCACAAGTTTTTTCAAAAGATCATTCAAGCACGTTCACATCTGCAATCAATTTTAGTATCAGTAAATTACCACAATAATTCAATTCAATGCTGCTTTTAGCTCTAAGAACAAGGCAATAGTGAAAAAGTACAAGGAAGCTATATCACAAGACCAAATTTACTACCACTCTTCCGTGGAAGCCAAGGCTGTCTTGCAAAAACAGAGCTACAGGAAAACACAAAGAAGTATAACACTAGGCCCACCTTGAGTAGTCCAGTAACCAAAATCCCTTAAAGCGTTAACGAGTGTCTTCGGATGCACACTCAGAGTATCTACTACCAAGTATTAGCATAATCCTAGGACTCATGAAAGGGGCCCCACTGGCACTGATGCCAACAAAACATGGGAGACACATCTTTTGGCACGCCCAAATAATTTTAAGGATCTTTTCAGTCCCACTGAATTGACTAAGAACGATAGACCAATAGACAAACTATGCAACACAACTGCTAAGCAAATAATCTAATTGAAATCCTGGGCAAACAACAAAAAAGTACCTGAAAATCATTCTCTTCAAAATTGGTAACATTCTCGCGCCAGAATATTGGATCCTTGTGCATGGGTGACCAGTCAAGATGGCCAAGGAGGACTTCTTGCTTATACTTATCAAAAGAACTCAGTTTCTTGATGTTATCCTTCAGACCCTCTTCCAGTTGATTTAATCCCTCCAGGAGATCCTATGAGAAACTTCAATTAGTTAGAAAAACACATAACCGATGATCTACAGTTTAAAATAACAAATGCAGAAAATTAACAATAGTTACAAGGCCCCATAATTTAACTTGGTGTAACCGAGGGGCCCAAAAGAAGAGGAAAAATAAAACTGGGTCTGAACAAATAAAATGCAAACTATCAAAAAAAGCAGTCTTAAAATTTCTCACCTCATCACTCCATGCTTGTGCTTTCAAACTCTGAACTATTTGTGGCAGTCCAAGGTCCACCATTTGAGCACCAAACGTCCCTTTGGAGAGCAAGTTCCTCAGGGTCAAAACAACAACTCTGACAACCTACCAGGAATAAGCAAATCCACATTACCAATAAAAGATGCATTTAACATATACTCCTCTGATACAAAGACAAACATTACTCATAACATGGACGAAGTCACAAATGCAATGGATGGTGTCACATTTGTTCCCCATGGATGATCAATATCAGAAGAATAAAAAGTGTGGAAAGAGGCAAACTTATTACAGAAGGAATCAAGATATACACAAATTACTCTTGCTATGAAAATATTTACCATCCAAAAGGACAAGATCCTCACCTTTTCCTTTGTGGAACTCTTGACAACTTCTATGAGTCGTGGAAGAGTTCTAGAAGTGGCCAAGTACTCAATCGCAGGTTCATAATAGGATAGGAGCCAGATACATAGACATGTTTCATAAAGAAGCTGTTTCAAACATAATCCATTGTCAATATAAAAATAAAAAAGTCAAGAAACGAATATGGAAGTTAGTTATTAGTTCCATAACTCGAAGCTTGCAGGTGATTAGAAGCACCAGATGATTATTTAGCCTGTCAACTGACAGGAATGGGCTGTGTAGCTTGGGTGTAAACATGTGTTTTTTTCTTTCTTGTTAGATGTCCAAAGTACAAAAAAAAAGTTACCTGAATAGATTGTTGGGTGGAAGCTGGAGAAATTAAGGGAACAAGCAACTTCACCCCATCTAATTGAACAAAGGAAGATCTAACCACAGGTTCCTTTAATAAGGTTGCAAGGCAATTGACAGCAGTTGGGATGCCGCGACTAGGATGGGAAGGCTTCTTCAGCTGGAAAATACATCTACCATCAGAAAAATACTCTGACAACCAATATCATCCAAACTAAAAACCACCAAGTGATAACTGTGATATCATCAAAATAACTTATTGAACTTGAGGACTAATAAGAGAAGGACACAATATGCACCACACAACTGTAATACAGGAAAACATTTCTAAACAAGGTCACACATCAAAGCCAAGGGATAAATGTTATTTCTTTTCCATAATAGCACACACAATAAGATATTTTCTGCAGACGTAATTTCCTAATTTTCGCAAAGCATGATCTCAGAACAGGAGTTCCATGATTACACATTCTGCATTTTGAATTTTGAAATGTCAAAAATAATGCTTTCATTTCCAAGGAGCTAGAAAAGAACAAGTGTGTGCATCTCATCAAGGTGGCCAATGGCCATGGAGTATAATTGAACTTTCCCAATTACAAGCTCATGATAAATGGTTTAGTTGACAAGGCCCAGAGATAGATGCATCTTTGAAACTAGAACGTTAGCAGTATGATGGAGACATTCCGTACACCAATCACCTTTGCACCAAATGGCCTCTCCTCTAATATTAAGGAGTGATTAGGTTTCCAGTGCATTACCCCTTTGAGATGTGTTAACACCTATTCAACAACTACTAAAAGACTCCATTTCCAGGCATTGAAAAAGAGAAAGGCACCCAGTTGCATTCAGTAGAACTTATAACCAAAAGCTGAAAGCATACCTGTGCACAAAGCCATTCCACCAATCCTTTCAACACATCATCAATAGTAGTAATTTTTCTCTTTGAATTTGAGGCTTCTCCATTTGCAACAGTGCCATCTTGGGGTTTTGGCCTGGCACTGTATTAAAATAGAAAACAATAACGAATATAAATGCCGTTAATAAAAGTTTTAGATGGAGACCACACAAGAAACTGTGCTTAGTTGACTCCTTGGTTATTTGGATTTCACTTTTGAAATGCATCATGTATGAGTACCTCACTATTAGAGCAAGTATCTTACAGCTCTTCTCTTGGATGAACCAATTACCCTTCCAAAGCAACCTGAAAAGAAACTCAACGGTTTGTTTGTTTGTTTTTAAATAGATAAAAATATAACTTGTATCACTGAATTGTAGAATCAGTGCTTACCTCAAGAAAGGCTCATAAATATCTTTATCGACAATAGTACCATCATGGAACAATCTTGCTCTTTTTGGGTTAGCTGGGACAAAAGGAAAGAAAAAGGTTATGTTTAGTTTTTGTTTTGCCAATGGGCGTGCAATCAGAAAGCCAGAAAATCTTGCAATTACCTGCAAGCATTTCATCAATTAAAGCAAGGACATATTCTACTGTTTCTTCCTTGAAAATATCACGTAAAATGCCAACAAACACTTGAACATAAGCAGGGCCGTCCTGCCACATTTGAACACCTTGTCAACATCATTGTGAGATACACAGCCGAAGAAAAAGAAAAACAAATCAATCTTATCAGACAATTCAGAAGATATCTCCACTAAGATTAAGGTGAAGCATTATAAGAAGGCAGCACACAGCATTATGGTTTGGGATGAATGTACAAATCAAAATGTGTTTGAGTTGAAGCATAAGATAGAAAGAGGAGGAGGGCATAAAGTTGTAAATATGATAAAGAGCAGGAGGAATTACATCATCGAGCAACTGTGATCTGTGACTCTCGGATCTTTTATCGTAACGCCTTAACAGCTGAAGGCACGTTCCAGTGATGAGCTTAGTGGTCATGTATGTCTCCCAAGGGATGTCCCTTTTCAAAACCTTGATAAAGGAAGGAAAGTGGGACAAGAATGAATATTCAGATTTATGAAATGTAATTCCCAAGGAAAGGGAGAAGAGGCAAATTCCAAACAATCAAACAGCATCATCCCCAATTCAAATTCAAATTCAGATGAAACCAACCTGTTCAGTGGTGAGCTCAGCATGGTCCATTGCTGCTCTGATAACACAAAAACAAGTCCAAAATATCTCCCAATTTCACCAATTCGAGTACCTACAGATGGAGAAACCAGATCAGGCTCCACAACCCACAACTCAGATTCACTTCACTTTCATTGAATGGAAGAAAAAGAGAGAGTAAAAGTAGAAGCTACAAATGAGAAAACAGATCAGGCTCACCTCTGTGTCTGTGTCTGTCTGTGTCTGTATCTGTGTGGCTTCGTCAGGACTCAGGACGCACGCAGGAAAGAGATGAATTAGAGAAGGGAGAGGAGAGAGAGAGAGAGATGAACCGTTTTGTTTACGTGGCCCTATCAGACAGCGACTCGTGGTGGGTACGGTATCTTTACCATAAGGGATTATCAATGGGTTCTTGGGCCAAAGCCCAAATAACAAAGCTGCTACTTAGCATCCTATTGACTCATCTAACTTGAATCCTATAGAACCAAGCCCAATTAAATTAAATTGAGTTATTATTCTCTTTTAATTAATTAGAACATGTATGGAAAATAAAGAGTGAAGAAAGTTGAAGATTGATTTCATTGAATGAATGAAAAAGAAGCTGAAGATAGAGAGGCAGAGAGATTGAGAGAAGAGAAGAAAAGAGGCTCTCACGAGCATGTCTCTCTCCTGCTCGTTTGTCGTTGGTCCTATCTCTTCTCCTCCCCACAAAATCGCCCCCACCAGTCCGCCCCATGTCTCCTCTCCACCGCTCTATTCTCCTACTTTCCCTCGCATTTCTTTCTTTTTATACCCACCAACTACCTCTCCTTCTCCTCTACCACATCCACATGGTCACAGTAATAGCATTACCTCCACCAGTTCTGCCTCTGCCTTTGCTTTTCTCCATCACCCACCCGCCGCAAAGAGGCTAAGCAGTGCTTCCATGACGAGAGGGCCACATGGGTTTCTCAGGGCGTCTTCCTGCTGTAGCTTTAGAGGTGATACAGGTGCTCAATTTGAGACTGGGAGCGGCGCTGATGATGAACAAGATAAGAGTGCTGCTGATGAGGAAGAAGAAGAAGAAGAAGAAGAAGACGACGACGACGACTTAATAGTTGAAGAAGAAGAAGCAGGGAGAGATTTTGGGTCTTCTCTTTTGCCTGAGAGATGGGACGTTTTGGGTCTTGGACAAGCCATGGTAATTTTCATTGTATTTCCAGTTTTCTGCTTGACTGCTTGCTTGCTTCAATATTACCAGTTCATCTTTGTTTCTGTTCCTCTTATGCCGCACTACGAATTTCTTTTTATTTTTCTTGTATAGCCCCTCTTTGTTTGATAATTGATATATGACAAATTTCTTTTAAGAAAAGAATAAGGAACATTATGATAATTTCAATCCTGTTTTAAAGCAAACAAGCTTACCCGACTAGGCCAAATAGGTCAGCTGAATTTTAAGTCTTGTCTTTATTTGATAGCCAAGCGAGTTATAACTCATGCTGTTCAAGTTCCTACTGGAATTAAAATGATTCTTCAGATCATACAATCATTTTCCTTGAATAAGTTGTATCACTAAGTTGAGCTATGTAGAGGTTCTACTAGCATGTTTGTTTGTACAAAGGAAGGGAAAAGAATTACCATTGACTGGCACGAAATTGTAGAGTAGCTCTAACATTTACTTCCACGATTTGAAGCTGGTATGCAAAGATTTAAACTAATTCTTGCATTTCTTCTGATATCTTTCTAGGTGGACTTTTCTGGCATTGTTGATGATGAGTTTTTGGAAAAACTGGGATTAGAAAAGGGAACAAGAAAGCTTGTGAATCATGAAGAAAGAGGTAGAGTTTTGAGAGCTATGGATGGTTGTAGCTATAAGGCGGCTGCTGGTGGGTCTCTTTCCAACAGTCTAGTGGCCTTGGCAAGGCTTGGTAGTAGGTCCATTGGAAGCTCTCCCTTGAATGTGGCGATGGCAGGGAGTGTCGGGAGTGATCCATTGGGTGGCTTCTACAGGTCAGGCTCTTCCAACCCTGAACGCCCCCACCCCCCTCTTCTCTCTGCTCTCTCTTCCTCCTCCTTTCTCCTATTCTTTTGTCTGGATGAATTCAACAGAGATGACACCTGTTTAGAAACATGTACCTTTTGCCTTTCAATTTTCAATGAATTATAGGGATTAATTTTTTTATTATTAGAATCTGCCTATAATATGGCAATCATCACATAACTGAAGGTTGTGTTATCAGTGTGCTCTTAGAGTGTGCCCTCATATTTTATTGGCCTCCCATCTCTGGCACTGTCAGAGGTATTTAAATTGATCATAGAGATTCTACTTTGTCAACAATTTGGAAATTTTGGTTCTTGTTCTGCAGGTTTTCTTTCTCTTTTTTTAAAAAAATTTCTTTTTTCTTTTGACTGATCTGACAAAATGTGGATTATTTCATAATGTATGTATAGGTCAAAGTTACGTCGGGCAAATTTGCATTTTCTTTCTGCACCTATCAAGGATGGGACAACAGGGACAGTAATAGTCCTCACAACTTCAGATGCCCAGCGTACAATGCTTGCATATCAGGTCAGATCTGTTTTGGATGTCTGAAAGCTGTAAGATTTTGTGATGTGAATCAGGGTTCTGTTTTCTAGCTGTTATTTGTTTGGTCAGTATTTGTGATTTCTTCATTTGGTCTAGTCATGTATATGGTCTTTGAGATAAATCAAATGAGACCCCTTATATATCTGTCTTAATGGTTCCAGGGTACATCTTCGACTGTTAATTATGATCCATGCTTGGCTAGCACAGTTTGCAATACAAAAATACTCGTAGTTGAAGGGTATCTATTTGAGCTTCCGGATACAATCAAAACAATTACAAAAGCATGTGAAGAAGCACGCAGGAGCGGCGCTGTGGTTGCAGTAACAGCGTCAGACGTCTCCTGCATTGAGAGACACTATGATGATTTCTGGTATTGTTACTCTGTTTACTGCATTATACTTTATACATATGACATTGCCTAGCATATTTTTCTTTTCCCCTTTATAATTATAAGAAAGCGAGAAGGAACAATTTCACTAATTCTAACTTGTTTCCAATAAGGATTATTTTAGTTAAATAATGGAATCTATATAGTGGCTTACATGTTTTTTTTCCACAAATTGAATGCAATGTTATGATTTCTGTTTCATTATATATAGGGGGAAAAAAAGTTTTGAAATGATGAAGGCATTACAAACTTGATGATAAACTATTATTTGTCATCTGGTCTGCGTGTAAGCTCTTTGAAAGAATTTCTTTCCTTATTTGAGACTGACGTATAAATTCCATTTACGTCATTTGTGACATCCAGCATGCACGGATGGTGGTTAAGACTTGGAGTGTTCTATCTCCTGAAATTTATATTAATTTTATTAAAATTTGTCCAGGGAAATTGTTGGAAACTATGCAGACATTGTTTTTGCAAACAGTGACGAAGCAAGAGCTTTCTGTCACTTTTCCTCAAAGGAGAGCCCCATTTCAGCTACAAGGTATCTGAGCCATTTTGTTCCCCTGGCATCAGTTACTGATGGACCAAGAGGCTCATACATTGGTGTAAAAGGGGAAGCTGTATATATCCCTCCTTCTCCATGTGTACCAGTGGACACTTGTGGTGCCGGAGATGCATACGCATCTGGAATTTTGTATGGTATTTTACGGGGAGTGTCAGATTTGAAAGGAATAGGTACATTAGCAGCTAGGGTTGCAGCCACAGTTGTGGGGCAACAGGGCACTCGGCTTAGGATTCAAGATGCAGTAGAGTTGGCAGAATCATTCGCATTCAATCTTGATAGTTCCACTATTAGGTCAGACATTGGGTCCGATCACATATCGAGCTTCTAATTAGACCCTTTGTTAATTTCCCAAAATTCTTTTGTTAGATGTACCTGTTGTTCATATGTTTGTACATTATATAAGATAATTATTGTACAATGGTCCAAATCTGATGGTGACTGACTTGGTCTCGTGAAATTCTATTTTCTTCAGTAGAAACTGTCGTAACAGAAGAAAAAAAAAACATATTTTAAAATACGGCATTCTATTTTCTTCAGTAGAAATGAGAATGTCCGGGAAGCAACTTTTGGTTTGGCTATAAATAGTTTAGTTTACGTAGTTTGGGCAAAAAGAAAAATTCTTTAGTGTCACAGTTTCAATTTTGGCAACTTTAATATTGTAGTTTGTTTAATTTTAGTATCAATCGCTAACTCCGTTAAAGTTGACGGCAACAATCTCATGCTGTCGTATGTACATAAGTGCGATGAATTTGTGATTGAAACCAAAATTACAAATTAAACAAATTACAAACTAGAATTGTAAAAATTGGAAACTATGAGACCAAGGTGGAAAATTGCTCATACTACAGGGATAAAAAGCGTAATTTGGCATTCATACAAAACTAAGTTGAAATTTGATCTTAAATTGTTCAGTCAAAAAAGAAATATGATAATACCATTATAAAAAAAGGTTTTTTAGGTTTTAGACATAAATTTTTTTTCACTTTTGGAAAAAGCCAAAGTTTTTTCAAAAAAGACAAAAAAACACTCAACTTTCAAATCAAAGACATGCAAATGTATTAGATTCCTTAAGAAATCTTTAAAAAAATAAGGGCATTTTTGTCTATTTTTGCTTCTTTTAAAATTTTTTTCTCTCCTTTTGCTTTTTTCAAAATGTCCCTATAAAAAATGAATAAATAAAAAGCAAATATGATAATAGCAAAGCAGAAAAGAAAAATATCCGGTTAAAAATACCAAGTTAGAGTCCTTTTCTTACCATTGGGTCATTGGCATTTCCAATTCCAATTCCATCCACCACGTCCCTCTCCAAATCCAAACTTTGAAAACAAACAAGTGAGAAAAAGAAAACAAGAAAATTTAAGGAGAGGAAGAAGATGGTTGATGACGAGAAAGGTAGAAGAAGGCGGGTGTTCACGTACGGCACCCTGAAGCGGGGATTTTGGAACCACAGCTTAATGCAGGAGCTGATGAGAAGCGGAGACGCGGTTTTCTTGGGAAACTACAGAAGCGAAGAAAAGTACCCGCTCGTGTGTGGGCCCTACCGGGTGCCCTTTCTCCTGAACCTGCCAGGCTTGGGTCAGCGGGTTATGGGCGAGTTGTACGCCGTGTCGAGTCACGGATTGGCTCGCATGGATGAGTTGGAGGGCACGAGTCGCGGACACTACGAGAGGCTCCCCATAAAGCTAGAGGCTGAGGAGGAGGCGGCGGCGAATGCTTATTTTGCGCACAGCAGCTACGCGATGGAGCTGTGGATCAAGAATGGGAGGATGGGTTTGAGCACGTATTCGGAGAAAGAGGCGCGGGGATACGTCAAGCGCCAAGATAGGCCGCAGCATCTCACCTTTCTCGACCACATCCATCTATTTCTGTCTTCTTCATCCTCATCCTCCTCCTCCTCTTGATTGATGAATTCATGATTGTTTGATCATTTCATGGGCTGCTCACTCATTACTTTTGACAGACTCGGAGTCTAAAATAAATAAACAAATTGATTTTGATTTTGATTTTCCCTTTTTTTCTTTTGTTTTTAACTAAATTATTAATTAGGAGGCAAGCAGGCCATGAATCTGAATGAAATGCTTCCAATCCAAACGAAACGACGACGGTAGGTAGCAAGAACATAACATTTTAACAACAACAAGGCAACATGACAAAACCATATATCAAAACATTTGACCATCCACACACGAACCATAACCAAGATGGTTGTGTTGTGCAGCATTAATACAATATGAATGCCGTTCGTATTATATAACAAGTATACACTTGTGCATCATATTTTTACGTTTATAAAGCGTCATATTTTACTTCTAGAAAGATCCACAGACGTACGATATTACTGTTCAAATCAAACTGGCCCGAGCCTACACTAAACTCATGCCATGCAACTTCATTCATTATAGTGATCCATTAACAAAGCCCCATTACACTGTAGTAGGTATAAATTCTACTACTTGTCAACATAAGACTCTCAGATTCTCAGAAGCCGACCTGTTCAAGTAGCTGCACTGCACCATACCTTAAACCTTATTTTTCGCTTAAGCCATCAGTTTCCATCACTTGTTTTGTGCTGCATCATTATGGAAGCAAAGCAATTATACATAGCTTGTCAGTTTTTTTTCCTTCATCATATCATTTCATATGTAATAATGTAACCTGTCAAAATTTTACTACAGAAAACTGCATTTACATTACCATGTTGATGTATGGCCAATACCCAGCCCATTGCACGTAAGTATCATTCCTTTAAATCTGGCAAGATATTCCTGAATTGCCATGCCATATAACATCATCTATATTCAGTAATATAACCAACTATCCTGGTCCCCAAAGAAACCTATCAAAACTGAGATTGACAATGGTAGATTTGATGACATGCAAAGGGACAAAGGTTCATACCCGTAAAGTGTACTTATCAATCTCATAAGTTCCAGTTAAATCATAGTCAAGTCGCTTAGCAGGATCACTTAACACTGCACAAGAATGAATAAAGGGAAAAACAATGAGTGAAAATCCATAGAGTCGCTTCCATTCTAGATTAGCCACAAAATGAAAATACCACCTATTCTAATAGCATAATACACAGCTTTTTGGCAATATATAATTTGTTTCATAAAGAAGCCAAATGATTGTTTATGCATCCCAGGTTTTTAAAATTTTAAGATGAGAGTCCAACTACAAGTTTCAAGGTTGCAAATTCTGTACTAGTCAAAGTCACCAACTGAGCAGAAAGGGAATGACGAAGAAACATGGAAACAGAACTTCACACTTTCTACAAGGAAAATTACCTTCATAAGCTTCATTAATCTCTTGAAACTTTGTCGTAACGTCACTGTCACCCTTGTACTTGTCAGGATGCCACTTCTATATTTAGCCAGAAGAATCATGTAAATTTCCCAGAGTTCAATTGCATCAGATCAAGAAACATTCACAATCAAGTAATGTTAAAGCCCCATCCAGGTATTACGCAAAAAAAAAAAAAAAAAGTGTTATGACAAACCAGAGCAAGCCTTCGGTAATTGAATCTGATCTTCTCGTCATTTGCATCATAATCAACCTCCAAAACTTTGTAGAAATCCTTGGAAAAAGTAAAAAGTTGCTTATCAGGTTTAGGTTGAGGTAGTGAAGTGAAATGTACAATCTCAAGGTCTGAGAAATAAGGGATACAGATTTGTGCCAAAAACTCATTCAATATGAACAAAAACCTTACTACAACAAACTAAGCAAGAGCAGAAACCACGAAGGGCAATGATAATATAACTTGGTACAGTAAAGTACTAATGCCAGATTTTGTTTTATTTCCATAGTATTAACCTAGTACGCGGCCAAACGGCTCAGGCTGAGATTATGCCTCCATGGACCCAATGCAGAACATGATCAGATTTTGATTGGTCAGGTTATCCATTATTGGAATGACACGACTGAAGCCATTGAAAAGCCCCTGTTAGGCCAGAAGGGAAGGAAAAAATATAAAACAATTTTGCATACGCTGGTCCTAATTTCCTACACCATTTGTAGCAGAAAAGTGGGAGAACCGGACCAGTAGGGTTCACAAAGCATGTAACAAACAATTAAGTCAATGCCCCATCAAGCACGCCTCACTCTTGTCAATTATTAGTTCCTGCTCCTTCACCAGATTCTTTCTTATTGTGTTTTAGATAGTACAAAGGACGGTCACTAAGCGAAGTAAAAACACTGTAAAGGAGTGATTCTTCCGGTCCAAAATTGTTAGTTCGTTGCGTATATCGTTACAAGGACAAGAAAAGGGAAAGACAACAGAGAAGGGAATCTCTAATCAAAGGGGCTCAGGTCAGGCACCAGACACATGCACACTAAGAACACCACCATCTCATCCATCCTAGTCCTAGTCCTTGAAATTGAAATTAATTAACGCGCTTCTGCAGCATGTAATCCTACTATCCTCCTCAACATCACAATTCATCTGTGCTGCTTGCGGCTGCTACTCAATCCTAACTCTATCTCATTCCATATTTACACCAAAATCTGAAGCAACCCAACGAAAAACGATAAATGAAAAATGAAAAACGAAAAACGAAGAGTCGTGCGTGATGGGATGGGACTAGAAATACCTTGTGGCTGTGGGTGCTGATATTATCACTGCCCGCCATCTGCTATGGTACTGAGGTTGGTGCACGGATGTTTGTCCGCATACTTCTTCATTTGATAGAAGAAGAAGCCACAAGGCAAACGCAAACCCAAGTTGTCAGAGGTCTTTTCTTTAAATTTTAGAAAATATATTTTCCACTAAGACTACTTAATAGGAAAGAAAAAAAAAACAAAAGAAACGAAGAAGAGAAAAGGAAACCCGGAAAAGTTTGTTTTGTTGTGTGGTGGGATTATGACGGATGGAGGAATAAAGAAAAACTCGGACCTCAAAGATTGAGTGTCACAATCCGTCTGTCTGTGTGATTGATTCTACTATCCATCTATCTAGTATGAATCAACTATATGAGCTGAGCTGAGACTGAGAGTACCCTAGAAAAATCGTTGAGGAAGAGAGATAGATAAGCTGAGGAATTTTGAGAGGCCACGTTGAATTGAATTGAAAGGCTTGCTTCTCCTTTTTTTACTTCCTTTTTTATTTGGATCGAAAGGATTGCTTTAAAGTTTAAACATAGGTAGCCCATCTGTGAAAAAGAACCCAGCCCCGTTAAGGTTGATAAATCCAAAAAGTCCAATCCAAGGAAGGACCTGCTTCGTTAATTTATGTGGGTGTGGGCTGCTTTTCATTTTTGTTTGGGCTGGACTTTTCATGCCTTCCATTTTTAGAACATGAATACTTTACTCTCGCTGATTAATTGGTCTCTTAGGTCCATTTGGAATTGCTTTTCTCTTATGGTGTGTTTACTAAGCAGAAATTGAATTCCACCTATGGAGGATTCATGTTTTTACTTCACATCAATGAATTAAAAAGTAAGTAGGATCCACACAAAATTAGGAATTGAATTCTTGATTTTGGAGGAATTCAATTCTTTGGTGGAAGGTGGTATTCTAATTCCTGGATAACTAACCCATTAGAAATTCATCTTTTTTACCCATTATATCCTTACATAATTCTAAAAATTCCAAATTTGTCATATACTTTAACCCAACAAAGAGGACATTTTAGTAATTAGCACCAAACCTACCCCAATTCCATATAGTTTAGTAAACAATTTCAATAAGAATCCAGAATCTAACTCTCCTCAATTCATATGGTTTAGTAAACAACTTCAATAGGAATCCGGAATCTAATTCTCCTCAATCCAACTATTCCTCAATTCAATTCCTCTTAATCCAATTACGGATTAGTAAACATGCTATTATAGTGTTTGATAAAAATAAAATATTTTGATTATTTTAAAAGCAATGGCTTTCTGACATCAACTTTTAAAAGCAGCATCTAGGTTGCTTTTCAAAGCTACTTTCACAAGGTTTTGACACTACTTTTTATACTAACATCACTTTAAAAATATTATTTACCAAACATGGAACTGTTTTACTTGACAGCTGATCATTTTCAAAGCACATCAGAAGTAACTTGTTTAAAAAGTGACAACAATTTCAAATTAAATTCCTACCATCCTAGTTTTGTAGTTTTTCCTTTTGGAATATATATATATAATGCATATCAATCAAACTTGGTGAGCCATTTTTGTATGTCTGCTAGCTTTTGATATTGAAGGAATCCGGGATGACATGGTTGGTCAGCAAAAGCACATGTTTGACTTTGACTAGGGTTCTCTTTGGGACAAATCCTTTAATTTCGAACTCGATCTTGTAAAGTAAACGACGTCGAAGGACAGAAATTGTTGATTTTGATATTTATTTGATACATCTGTCTGTTGTTGGTCCAACATTGCATATTAGTTAAATGTTATACATGCCGTCAGAGATTCAGAAGTCTATCCAATTCCCTAAATTTAACTATTTTTTTCATTCGTCATATATTAATTACGTGATATAGAAGTACCAAATGAGTCACATCTTTTAACTCATCTAAAATTGTGGCACTCACTCAGATACGGACTTTTAGTTTGACAAACCTGGGCTTCACATCTTTTAACTCATCTAAAATTGTGGCACTCACTCAGAGACGGACCTTTAGTTTGGCAAACCTAAGCTATATAGCCCAAGTGGCTTCTTTTTTCCAGCCAAAAAAATAAAATTCTCGCTCATCCGGGGACCGACCTTTAGTTTGGCAAACCTGAGTTATAGCCCATGTGGCTTCTTTTTTCTAGCCAAAAAAATAAAATTCTTTCTCACCCAATTTAAATAACCTAACCTCATTTAGTTCTCCTCTTTGCACAGCACGTAGTCAATGTGGGAACTCACACGCAGCACAGCAAAAGTAAAAAAAAAGAGAAAAAATAACTCACGCACGGCACATGTGTGCATAAGTTTTTCTTTTTGTGGTTTTGATGCACAAGTGTTAAACTATGATTTGCAAGAAGAAATATTTCTTTTCCTAGAAGGTGACAAGAAGTATCCCAATAAATATCAATTTGCCACAAGTTAGGAAAAAAGATTTGAACAAAATTAAATTGGAGTATTAAGTATTCTCCTAGACAATACATACATACAGTACAAGTGCTACACAATCGATAACTAGACGAGCCTTGGTTAGTTTGTTTGTTGGATTGAATGGATCTAGACTTGATTTGATGGAGTTTATGTCGTACGTGCAACTTGTGCAATAATTATACATCTTCCACTAAATTAAGGGAGGGATGGCCTGGCACCGACACAACAACTACGACATGAGATGAGCCTCCATATGCGACTATAAATTGTAAAGTAAGACCGACCGTGGAGGCATGACGGGAGGGCAGGCATCCTTTTTTTCTTTACTATTATTTTTTATAAAAGAAAAAAATTTATGCAGTTTCATTCCCACCTTTCAATTGAAGACAGGAAATAAAACAACTTGATTGTATCTTTCTTTTCTTTCCCAATCCCAATATATATAGTAGCTGATAGGCAGGCTGAGGCTGGTGGGTAGTTATCTTATTTCCAGAAATTGATATAATTAATGTCAGAGACAGAGAGCAGCTGCCGCTCACACTCACAGGTCATAACATGCAAAGGTATGCGTGCTTGGTGCTTGCTAGCTAGCTGGTATGGTTAATGTATGTAATTAATATAATATGTGGGATTGAGCATGAATGAATATTATGCATGCATGCATGCAGCGGTGGTATGCTGGGGAATAGGAGAAGCAGGGATGGTGGAAGAGATACAAGTAGAGCCTCCAAAAGCGTCTGAAGTTCGGGTGAAGATGCTCTACGCCAGTCTCTGTCACACTGACATCTTGATTTCCAAGGGCCACCCAATTGTTAGTATATAGTAATAGTAATATTATTACTTATTTGTGATCTGAAATAATAATTTTTGTGGATTGATTATTATTTTCATCTTTCTTTTATCACAGCCTCTCTTCCCTCGAGTTCTTGGGCATGAAGGCGTCGGGTACGTACTCTCACTGTGTAAAGTATTATGTATCTATTTAATTATCTGGATCTGGATGGAAGAGTAATGGAATTTTAAATTGCGCATGCGGCATGCCTAGTGTGGTAGAGAGCATCGGGAAGGAAGGAGGAGATATAAAAGAAGGAGACATGGTAATTCCAACGTTTGTTTCAGAGTGCCAAGAATGCGAGAATTGTGTGTCGGGAAAGACAAACATGTGCCTCAAATATCCCTTATCGTTCACCGGTCTCATGCCGGACGGCACTTCAAGAATGTCTGCCAAGGGACAGAAGCTGTACCATGTATTTTCTTGCTCAACATGGTCAGAGTACATGGTTGTGAATGTTAATTACCTTGTCAAGCTTCCTCCCACGATGATCACTAGTGGTAGTTTTCCTCTCCCCCACGCAAGCTTCCTCTCCTGTGGATTTTCTACTGGATTTGGGGCTCCTTGGAAGGAAGCTAAGCTTGAAAAAGGATCAACTGTCGCTGTTATTGGTCTTGGTGCTGTAGGATTAGGGGTATGTATATATCTTGCATACATGTTCTTTCTACTAGGACAACTGGTACTACTAGCTAGCTACCTAATTAATATACTATAATTAAGTAATTAATTCCATTTTTGTATTGTTAATTATAATCTAACAAGTGCAGGCAGTTGAGGGCGCTAGAGTGCAAGGTGCCGCTAGGATCATTGGCATCGACAAAAATGACAAGAAAAGAGAAAAAGGAAAAGCTTTTGGAATGACTGATTTTATAAACCCTGATCATCATCATCATCATCATAAATCAGTTTCTCAGCTGATCAAGGACTTGACAGCTGGAATGGGTGTTGATTATTGCTTTGAGTGCACCGGCTTTGCACCCTTCATCAATGAAGCCCTTGAGGCCACAAAATTGGTATTCATATAATATACATTTTTTTTCTGCCATAATAGACAGTATGAATTAGGGAAATATAATACGGAGTGGACTATATAATGGTGTCCTTATTTGAGGGATCTCTCAACTCAACGAAAGCTTATATATTATTTGAGGGATCCCTTGTGTGTGTGTATATATATATATATATATATATAATCCTGTAGCAATTAATCTTATTTTGTGTTGATTAATATTGTGCGGTTGTTGTGTCAGGGAAAAGGAACAGCAATAGTCATTGGAACCTCAAATATAACAAGCGTTCAAATTAATTCCCTTTCCCTATTGTGTGGCAGAACCTTGAAAGGTTCCATGTTTGGAGGGCTCAAAACCAAAACCGACTTTCCCCTTATAATCCAGAAATGCATGAATAAGGTGAACCAACTCCTCCTACAATCCTAGCCAAGCCAACCTAAGCTTTTAACTCAACGCTAAAACTTCGTAAATTAATACTCCAATTTTGTTTTTGTTTTTGTTTTTGTTTTTGCCCCACAGGATATGCAACTTGACCAACTTTTGACTCATCTATCAAGGTTCTTATCAAGATTTGATTTTGATTGTTTGTTTCTATCTTCGTAAGAAATAAATGATGAGATTCATATGATATAATATATATAAAGGAATAAACCAAACATTTTGATTGGTTTTAACTCTCTCATCTCATGTATCATGTATGGGTTCTGTTTAATTTTTGCTAGTTTCAAAACCCTCAATTTCCATGATTTTTTCTACGCGTCATTTAATCATTTCTCTTCTTAAGTTACCTAACAATGAAAATATCAACTTTTCCTCTTCAATTCCTGACTTTTAACTAAATTCTGAATTATTTTCCTCCATCCAAACGGATGGTAAATTAACACACCCCATTAGAAAAAAGAGGGGTGCCAAATTATTGATTTTTTTCAGAAACAATATTGACAAATTATTGATTTTAAACTCATTGTTAAAGATTCATTTCATCCGGGAAAACAAAGGGATTTGGAGAATGAAAGACAAGATTTTTCCTACAAGAAATATTATTACAAGTTTTCATTTTGTTCCTTAAAAGAAACAAACTTTTATTGGTACCATACCAAGATGACATTACAGAACAAGGTGGACAAAGGCTTCCAACAGGGAACAATGCAGAGATAAGCACAAGAAGCAGGCAGAAAACTCCCAAAAGAAAGCCCCAACTCAACCAAGCAGACATAAGATCGAATCCAGTCACAGACCTAACTGCTGCTCTCCTCCAATCTAGCCAAATAACAGACATAATCATACTTTGCCATTCAATAATATATAAAGAAAACCACACAGCAGGTGAAATCGAAATTGACCCCATGGCTGGCTAAATGGAAGGAAACCAGTCTGATCTGATGTTGAACAACACTGAAGTCTAGAGACACAACTCTACAACACTACTAATTAAGGCAAGCTGCCTTTCCTAAAGGCCTGTTTTCTAATCATGTCCAGAACCTTGTAGCGAAATGCAAGCCAAACCAGATGATATATATGCATGGGACTATTTTAATGGAAGCTGACTAGCCTATTAACTGCGCTTCTGTACTTCAAAAGAGCAACCAGGTGGAACAAAAGACACCAATTTGTTATTCAGCTCTGTCCAAGAGTCTGAACCAGGACTTTATCCCATTACCAACAAATCTCAAAAGGCTAGAAATCCATTTATTAATCCACTAGCTATTAATCAAAATAATGAACCGTATGGTAGCTTTAGCAAAGCCTGAGCGCTATAACCAAAGTATTGAAATCACCATCCTCCAAAAGAAAAATATGGCAAGACCACATAGTTACACATCCAATTTTAAGCATACATCTGATCTCCAAAGTTATAAAGTCCATTAATAAGCACCATTGGTACATAAGAAACTGAAATGAATCTCACATGGTTGCTTCTACTTCAGGATCACTTTTAATTGGCACCGTCGGCACATTGTTCCCACCTCTCAAACGCGAAGAGACATTGTCAATGGCCGAATTGAGCTGGCTTATTTTTGCATTCAAGGTCTGCCTGGTCTTCTGCTTCCCAGGGAAAAGGAAAAGGAAAAGGAAAAGGAAAAGGAAAAGTCAGATCAATTGTCTTTGAGAAAAATAAAAAGAACACATCGCATCTCCAACAAGTGGGAAAGGTTGGATGTCCAGTCATGAAGATGTATTACCTCCAAACCTTCATCATAATATATTGGTCTTCTGGCCTTCCGGAATCCGTATTCATCTTCATTAAGTAGAGATCTTCTAATCTGCATATGACAAAAGTGCAAACCAGGATCAAAACCCAAATGAAATAACATATGATGCAGAATAATCATCCTATGCCTTTAAGGATCACTGTGAGAAGACATGTAGCCAACAGGAATCAAGACCATATACAGAGCAAGGCAGACAGATGATAGGAATTTACCAACAAGGAATACAAGCTGCCAGTCTTTGTGAACAATAAGACTGGCCATGTCATGAGTACAAAGTAGGAGCAACAAATTTCTACATTACATGCTACAACAGTCAAAAAATAGACGGCAAGGGTAGAAAAATGGAAGTTGATTGCAACATACTAACATGCTACAACAGTCAAATAATGGATTTCTTCTACAAAATAATATCCTTTTTCTTTCATTTTGCTAAAATATTAGCAAAATATATTCACAAAGAAAACTGATTAAATTGAAGCAAAAATTAATCGCAAGGAAGCACGGTAATGCAATGAAAACAAAAATGGAACCATTCCTCTTTGTTGTCTTGACAAAGTATAACAACGCCCTTGATGTACAATTGAGAACTGATTAAAACGTAACCGCAACTAAACACAACCTCTTTTCGTAAGCATAAAGCTGGCATGTGTGAAGAAGAAAGATTAAACCATATGAGATGGATATGATGAACACAAGTAGAATATAGTGCATTGGAATACTGAAGGCAAGAAGATTAATAATATTTAATATGGAACCACCTGTGGAGCAAAAACATAAGCTAAAGTCCCAAAGACAGCACCACCTAAGACAAATCCAGCAAGAAAATCAGCACCTCCACCCCTACTATCATCACTGCTGCATATAGAGGAATGAATCAATCAACGTTGATAGATTATACAAAAACAGAAATGGTCTTGAACATCAACTCATCACTGAACTGAAATGGAATACCTGTACTCAGCACGAATAGCGAAATTGCGTTTGGTTCGCAGTTGAATATTTTTCCTTGGGCTTTGGGTAGTGAGCTTTGCTGATTCTGCCCGACTGTTGCTGGACCACCACATCTCACGCGCCTTCAGCTGACATCCGCCGCCTGCAGAGATTATATATATACAGTCTAAAGACTCTGAAAGTCTAAACTGGAGGAAACAACATACGAAATTACAATTACTTTTTCTTTCACTCTTTTCTTTGGAAAATTACAAATAAAATTGGTCGAAGAAATTGATTATTTTTTTTTTGGTTTAAATAGAAAGTCCTAAGCTTTCTGAGGAACCGAACACGAAAGCAAGATGAGAACCTGAGCTGAGATTGCCGGTTGAGGAAAGACATACCTGAAAATGAGGCGGATAAAGGAGCAAAGCAGATCGCCATTAGGGGGAAGAGAGAGAGAGAGAGAGAGAAGCGGAGGAAAGGGCGATGCAAACTATTTCACCAAACCTGGAAATGAAATGATTTGCCTAGTTGTAAGCCTGTAGCCTAGGATAATACACATATACGCAAATAGTTTTAACTTTTTTGATATCTCTAATTAACCCCTGATAACTTCTTTTTTTTTGGGTCGTGACCCCCTGATACTTTGAAATGGGAATTTGGATGTAGTGGTTGGTTGGTAATATAGCAGTGCAGACCTAATTCAACAAGGGAGTTTGACCAAAAAGGGCAATACAGGAATGTTATTTTTTGTTTTTTTTGTTTTGGTTTGGAGACGTTCAGTTCAGCCTTTGGTTCTTCCGCCCCCGTTCACTCCACCGTCCATTACTTCGGACTATCTCGACAAACCCCACTTCTCTGTCCGTTTACGTTTGTGTAATGCATTTATGAATGTGGATCTAAAAGTACAAATAATAACTTCGGAATTATCTAAACCTTAAAAAGTCATTTTTGGTCATTATAGCTTATTATTTTTTATAAAAAAATTGATGGAGGTCCAAAAATTCAATCAATAATTAGGTCTAGTCCTCGAATTATTGTCTATTAATACAAGTCCCTTGACGAGTTTGCCACGTAGATTACATTCCATCTTTGACATGTTGATTCAAATTTTTTTATTTAATTGATTTGTATTTAATTTTTTTTTGTTCCTATTGTCTAAAATGAGTAAGATGAGAATTTATATGCCATTATTTTTATTTTTGTTCACCCTATGGTAGAGGTATAGTATATACTCTTGTAAATTATCCTATGGTGTAGGTATATTGTCATATTGCCTATTGCATAGGTATATATTTGTTTTGTTTTTTGTTTTTATTTTGTTTTTTCATATTTTAGACAATAAATAATAGTATTTTATATACATTTTTTTATAGGTAACATATAATTTTATTTATCTATTTTTGTATCTGACTTATAGGTAGTCTTCTAATTTATGTTCATGACTTATAAGTAACACGATTTATCACTACGTTTTTTTCGTTGCTAATAAGAACACTATTTACCTGTATGTTAGGTACATAATTTAATGTGGATGCTTGCCTAATTGATTAGTATAATATGTGGGCCTTTGCTTCAATTGATTAATTTGTATTTTACCCATATATTAGGTAAATATTATCAATGAAAGAATTCCAAATTTAAATTTTAAAATTTAATTACAAGTAAATAATTCATTAAATTTAGATTTTCAATGTTTTCCTTATGTACCTCAAAGGGTAAAATCGGCATAATAAAAAGAATAATAAAATCAAAAGACCTACATTTAAAACTAAAAATGCTTGGACTAAACCCAATGGCAACTAATCGTTTTGGACCTAGATCTAAGAACCCCTTATTTTTATCTTTAAGGTATGTGTGGTTTCAATTTGATTAATTTTGTTCATGCAGTTTGAATTTCAAACAATTCAAAGATAATCTCCAATTTCTGTCAAATTAAAAGGGGCATTTCGGTCCAATCTTGCAACGCCTCCCCAACCACTTCCACAACCACCCCAGTAGCCCCCATGTAACTTTTCTTATGCTTTCACGTCTCAAAGTCTATTACTTTCAATCTTGAATGAACAATTGTGCGACTTTTTAAGTCTTAAACTCTGACTTTTGTTTTTGGAAATTTGGGCTCATGAGGAGAGGTTTTGGGCAATACACGGAATTAGATTTGGCATTTGATAAAAGTGAGGAAAAAGGTGATTGTGGAGGGAGGAAAGCATTATGTTGGGCCGGGGGGGTTGAAGGGAGGGGATATGGTGGTTGTGGGGGTGGTTGGGTTGAGTTAGGAGGAGAAGGTTGGGTCAGAGGGGAAGGAGGGATGAGATCAAGTGGTTGTGGAGGGGTTGCTGGATTGTTGTGGGGTGGTTGGGGAGGGGCTGCAAGATTGAACTGAAATGCTAGTAAAAGTGATAAACTAAAAGGACCAAAAATGACTTTTTTTTCCATATAATGTCATAGTCAAAAGAAGAACAATGACGGAAAAACCACACTTATGTACCACATTATGCATCACTTCATCTCTTACATTCCAAAAGTTTGAGCATTACCTGTCAATACCATATGATAACAGCAGCTAACCATTCAAAACTAAGAGGACTTGGGCAGCACGTTGTTTGCAAATTCCTAATGACATCTCCAAATTATGGTGGCTTATATATATTCTCTTTATATACAAACGGCCGTAATAATAACGCACTCAAAAATCAAAGGGCTAAACAATGCACAAAGAAAATTATCAATAAATCCTATATGAGAGATGAACAAGAGGAAAAGGGGGGTCTCGTATGGCACCCAGGCAAGATCATCAGACATAATTGCCACATGCAGTTGACGAAATATAATGTACACAATGCAACAATTCATCTTCTCGCTTTATTTGTCTGGAAGGCGCCCAAAGAGAAGCAGTGATGTATTCACATGATGCCTTTCAGGCAGAAGCTGTTCCGATTTTGAAACAGGTTTCACAGGCTGTTCCTTGTCTGGGAATGGGAATGAAAGGGAGAGGGAAAGGGAGGCAGACGCATCATCATCTTTCTCATCCACCACGGCATCCAAAGGCTTATCCTGGTTATTTTTCTCGTCCGCTAATCCAACAAAGAAGGGCAGGATTCCCTTATTTTGCGGTTTTGTTTCTGCCCCTAGAGCAAGCTCGAGACTTGGGAACCCATCACGAGACTTATCCTCATCTCCTGATGAGGAACCTTTCCAAGGCACAGAGTTGTCAACTGTGTGAAAATGCTGAACATGCCGTGAATCCACAGGAAAAAAGTATCTCTCAGTAGTTCCCAAGTCCTCTGGAATAACTTTCTCCTCACAGGCTTCAACGCATCTCTTCTCGACCAAAGAACAAGGACCCATATCATTATGTGAGACAAAACCATCATCAACAGCATTTGTACCCCTAGATGTGCTACGACCATACAATCCACTTGAACCAATTTTTGGCTTCTTACTATCACCCTCACCATCTATCTGTGTACTATTCACCTCATTCCATGACATTTCTTGATTCGTGGCTGCAGAAGCTGCTGTCTCTGAAAGAGCTATATGAGGATGTTTTCTTTTACTAGACTGAAAAGAGTTGACTTTTGCTGTCAAGTCTCTCACCAAAGCTGCTTCTATTTCCTTATATCCGTAATCTCTCTTCAATTCCTTATCTTGTTTACATTCAACACTCTCTATGTTTACTCCGTCCAGAATCACCTCCTCAACGCCTCCTGCGAGACCAACCCTTTTCTTTCTATCTGGAATTGTCTCCTCAGCAACACTCCCAGCAATGGCTACCTCTTGATTGGAAATAGGACGAATCTTCAAAGACTCAGCACCTTCTCTATCACCAGAAGTGACCCAATGCACTTGCCTCTTCTCACCTTTGATGGAGCTATTTGACCCAGTTATTGGAATAGAAGATTTAATTTCTGTGCCAAGTCCGCTCCCTCGAAGGCAAATTTCCTGCTGCTGCAGAATGAGAGAGCATTGAAACAGATAATAACCCTTTAGTAATACACAGAACCTCAATGTCAAAACAAAACTGACCCCAAAATATATAAACATCAGGTACCTATATTTCAGAAATAAAACAAAAAAATTTACTAGGAAAGTAAATTGAACCACAAGACAAGGGCCAAGCTTCAAATATCACACCTTCCTAATATGTTGTCCTTCTACAACACAGTTCATTTGTAGAGTACAATACATCATAGGACATGTCATTCAGCGATTCAATATATAGCATGGGATTCAATAAACATTCTAGTCCAATGCATGATCATTGAGGAGTCAAGTTTTGTGACACCAGTAATGCCATCTGCGCCAAAGTGCAGGTGCTAAGCAAATAAGGATCTTTTGACTAAGCAATAATTTTTCAGGTTGTGACCACTATTGTAACATTAGATAAAAATTCAAGTAGCAACATATTCCACTCATGATACACAAAAAAGAAATGAAATGCAAGCCACAACAGTATATATTGAAAATCATAATGTAAAAAAATACCTCGAACAGGGGAGCAACACAGGTCAAAATTGTCAACCACACGAGTATGTCACATATTAAGATATGTAAAAGAGTATGAGACATATGGAATGAGAATAAGTGCTGCAAACCACATGGTTCAAGAACATCAAGATGTCTAGTTCAGAAATTAAAAATATATAACCATGGTGCAAAAAAATGCTGACTGAAATTAATGTCAGCTTGTATCGAGTGTGCACACATAAAGCAGAGGGGAGAGAGAGAGAGAGAGAGAGAGAGAACTCTTGTTTGAATGTGAGAGTATTGTAGAAACATGTCAGCCAAGCCACAATATAATTTTACCCCAAATGAACTGAACAGAAACATCAAGGAACAACAAGAAGCAGCTTATCAAGCCATATACATTCTGAAAAAATAAAAATTACCAGGGAAGCGGTGCATGGAACTCCTTCAGACAAGCCTGCATTGTTTGTTGTGTTGGAGTCAAGCCTACTATTCTGTACCATCAAGTTCACTTTTGAACCTGAACGTACCTCCTCAGGATAAGTATCTTTGCTCACATGATCCTTGCTAACTGTGGGACCCATATGAAGAAGGGAATTGGCTGCAGACGCTACATCACGACATTTGTCAGAAGCAGAGAATTCATCTATATGCTTAGGTATGCATAGGTTCTCTGACAAAGTTCCATATTTATCCAATGAGTTGCTCAAGCTGGGAACACATGTCTCCTTAGTAAAATCCAAACGATGCACCCTCGTTGTCCTGAAAACACCCCATAGGAAAAACAGCATATTCCAACCTGCCAATAACAGATAATAAATTTCACCAGATGGCACAAAAAGTTAGCAAACAAAGATCAATTACAGAACAAATAACCAACAATATCAGCAAGACGAGCACAGCCGCCAATGATTTTAAAGAAGGCACCCTCATACAACATTAACCCCATTTTATACGTTTCTTCATAAGTACAGGCTCACAATATCAGCATTGGCACTTGTTTATGCATTAAGCCGTATGAGCCAACTTGCACAAAACAGAACCATATCAAGCATATTATCACTGGATTAAACACCTAACCCCATATAATGAAACTTCAGAATTCCTTACGCTGTGATCTCTCAGGAAGCTGATTTGATGGGAATATCAGAAGTTCAACACCATCGAAATTCCCTTTGAGGGCTAAATCATTCTTG